TATATATATATATATATATATATACATTAATTAAAACAACTTATATATTTTATACAAATATCTCTTCAATTTAAGAGAAAATTGTTTAATTTTAACTATAGTTTAAAAGTGTAACTGCTAAAAAATGACTATATACATTTTTAGCATACAATATTATTTACATTTTATGTATTTTATTAAGCAAACATCTGTTTTTAATAAATTTGCTTTCTGCAGGCTGTAAAAGAACCAAGCAATGACTGTGAATGCGGCGGTATCTATAACAAGTCTCATTTGCATAGAAAGGAGACATACTTATGCTAAAAATAATGACAATAACATAATTTAAATACTCATGACACAGCTCTATACTGGTGGATATCTGCAGTGGATAGCGAATAAGATGCATGTGCACTGAAACACGCACGTTAATGTGACGCAACCAGCGGCGTGAAATTCCTGCTCAAGCTCGGGTTCACAGGCGTTTCCAGAGAAGAAAAAACATTTGATTGGCACGAACATCTGCTCGTGTGGCAGCTCTTTCAGCCGCACGACTGCAGGTTGTGTTCCCACTTCACACCAGTACAGCTTCCTGTTATGAGAGCCCCCCTTTCTCCCACAAACAAAATCTCCTTCCCACAAACCCTCACTACATTATAGCAGCAGCATCAATCAAACGCCACGCGACAGCTCTGCTCATGTTCCACCATCAACCGCATCACAGCGTCCTCCAGCAGGTGCCTGACTGCCTGCAGCAACACTTCTGCTTATACGCGAGTGTAAAAAAAGTCCTGACAGTTAGTGTTACCCTTTCATAATTTAATTATCAATAAAGCCGTATTTGATTATCGCGATTCGAAAAACTCAGGGTAATTATTCAGCAAAGTTAGCAACAGTCTCACACATACGCAATATGCAGGTTTCGTTTTGTGTGAAACCATGACTAAAAACCATGCTGAGAAATAAATTATATGAAAGAATGTGTAAATGAATGAATTCTATGAATGCATAAGTGAGAACCGACTGACTTCAGAAAAGTTTCAATGGCATTTTCTTTTCATCTTTCCTCTGTGCAATGCCTAATGAAGTAGTGTTTATAAGCGCAGCGCTGCTTTGTTCACAGCGGTTACTTTGGAAACAGCTTTATTTCTGCTGTTCCATAGGCGCCACCTGCTGTCAGACAGTGAATTTACATTTTATTCAGTCCTTCTGCTGTTTGTTCAGACTAATGCAAAAATTGGACCAAATTTTTGTGGAAATTGGTAAAACAAGCTAATGTGCAATTGACCCTCGCAAAAACCCGCCCTCCTTAGTTACTGTTGCTATGTCCAACAAGCCATGCCGCTCTCACACAACACATTGTGTTCTCACGCAGTAAAAAATTATGAATAATTTTGGTCACTATAATCATTGTATGAAATTTTGGTAACACTTTAGATTAGGGAACACTATTCACTATTAACTAGTTGCTTGTTAGCATGCATGTTACTAGCCTATTGGCTGTTTATTAGTAGTTATAAAGCGCATATTAATGCATGATTGTATTCTAGATCCCTTAATACTATCCCACTCTTAAACATAACTTACTATATATAAACAGCAAATTAGGATTAGTTTATTGAGGGAAAACTACCTAAAATCTAAAGTGCTACTGAAATTTACACGAGCACCTCTCTCATTTCATATTAATGCAGGGTGGCTGGGATCGGGCCCTGGGGTCCGTGCCCTTCTGCCAGCCTCATGATCTCCCGTGGAGCGTGGGACCCCGCTGCGCTCAGCTCCTTCCTGCTGACTGTGGCATTAGAGACTCAAGCAGCAGGCGGTCCGCCACTGATCGCCCCACCTCTGCCCCGCTCCAGGTCACAGCAATGGATTTTGACATGAAAAGAATTCAAGGAGCTTTCTGGATTTAGATTTTCCCCAAAACCCTCTAGCAACAGGTTTGGGAGCATAAAACAACAGAGCATGAGAGAAAACATCTTCAAACATAATTAGAAAAGGGGCTTTGTAGCATTTAAAGTCAGCATGAAATTAGTACGGAGTCTATTTAATTTCTTAACACATGATCCCTGATTTAAGAAAAATAAAATACAACCTTTCTTCAAAATGCAATTTCTCACATGTAAAATGACTTTTCTTTTTGTATGACATCAAAAATCCTTGAATTTTCATGATCCAATAAATCCCAAAGGGATAAAATCAAGCCCCATTCTACATTTTTTTTTTTGTTGTTAAACCTTTTTTTTAAATCCAAAACACACTACTATCAAATTAAGTTTGTATAAAACTACTAAAAGAAGTATATTCTGCTCACCAAGGCTGCATCTATTTGATAAAAAAAAAATAGTAAAAATGGTAATATTGTGAAATATTATTACAATTTAAAATAGCATTTTTCTATGTGAATAGTTGTAATATGCAATTTATTCATGTGATGCAAAGCAGAATTTTCAGTCTTCAGTGTACGTAACTGCAGCTTCCAAACTCTTAAGAAATGTATTTTGTATTATGTGAGAAAAATGGGCTGTGAATGTTTTCAAGTTTACTTCACAGGAAAGTTTAGTACGCTAATTACCACAGAAAATAATTCAACTGACAAAAGACTTGTGTTCACAGTAAATGCACAAATAATGGAAAGTGTCAGCGCTGGATATAAACATTTAAAATATGCAACAATCACACTGTTTCACATTTATAATTGCAGCATTTATAAACTACATGTTAAAGCGTGACAATAACCAGTGTTTTACAGTATGTCATGTCATGACCAAACAACTAAATAAACCTGGTTCTTTCCACTTGGATGGGTGCTGCTGACAAAAAACTCCATCCACCTTGTCCTCTAAAGGTGAAGTGCTTTATTTTTTCCATGTTAAAAAACTGCCAAAAACTGCATGTTAAAACAGCCTCGCTGCATAGGATACAGTAATTCAAATTGGCAAAAGGTCACGCAGTTTGAAACCCTTAAAGTTTTTGTCATTTTTCAGTAAAGCTGCGGCTTTCTCACACATTTGGTGTTTTATTTTTTGTTCCATTTTAAAATACTTTCTTGTATCCCGACCTACATGATAAGACATTCAACACACTTTTGGACTCTGAAAGGTGTAAACATGTTGGCGCTTTCAAAAAGAACAGTGCTATTCAAAAGCAACAACAAAAGACGAATCAAAACAGATTTCCATTTCTGACTCTCTTTATAATAACTCTTTATATAATAATGAATGTAGAGAATGTTAAAGCCCTGCGGTTGGCGGTGAACTGGGTCGTTGGGTGTGATAATTTCAGCGCAGCTTGTCTTAAGTACACAAAGGTGAAATTTACCCACTGGCTAAAGCTCAGTAATAAGAGGCGCAGGTGCGCTGACGGCCACGACTGACGCTTGCTTTGGCAACTCTGACAGCACTGTGGCTCTATTCCAGACGCTCGGTCACACCGCATCAGGACGGATTTCTATCCAGCACTCTGCTGCTGCTTTTATATCTGTGCACTGCATTGTTATAAAACAGTCCTGGCTGCTGATTGGTCAACACATGCTAAAATACACAATACAGCATGCAAAAGGAGCCCTAGCGCACAGCATACATAAAGACCAACTACTAACCAGAGTGTACAAGTCACGACCACATCTAATAAAATTGTCCGAGTTAAATAAAGGAATAGTTCACCCAAAAGTGAAGATATCTTAAAGTTTACTCATCCTCAGGTCATCCAAGATGTAGACGAGTTTGTTTCTTCTTCAGATTTGGAGAAATTCAGCATTCCATCACTTGCTCACCTGCAGTGAATGGGTGCCGTCAGAATGAGAGTCCAAACAGCTGATAAAAACATCACAATAATCCACAAGTAATGAACACCACTCCAGGCCAATCAATGTATTGTTAAGCCAAAAGCTGTGTGTTCATAAGAAACAAATCCATTATTAAGTCCATAGTCCATAATATTGCATCCTCCAGTGAAAAAGTAATCTCATCTGAATCTTGAAGTTAAAAACATCTTAATGATGGATTTGTTTCTCACAAACACGTAGTTTTTGGCTTCACAATACATTGATTGATAGACTGGAGCGGTGTGGATTACTTGTGGATTATTGTGATGTTTTTATCAGCTGTTTGGACTCTCATTCTGACGGCACCCATTCACTGCAGAGGATCCACTGCTGAGCAAGTGATGGAATGCTGAATTTCTCCAAATCTGTTCCCATGAAGAAACAAACTCACAGAAATGCAGCTCAGAGAAGCACCAGTGTGTCTGATCACCACACGGATCATACTAATCTTGAAGAGACTATAAGCCATGCTGAACAATGTACCGGCAGACAGTCGCGGGCGAATTCTGGGCGTCTGCATCTCTTGGCGGGCGTGTGGCAGCATGTGGTAGCGCTTGGCTTCGTTCACCAGGTCCCTGCAGGCCTCTGAAGATTTGATCAGCTCCTCGTTGTCCACCACGTTCAGCAGGTAGCTGGGATGGATGAACGGAAGCCGTACCACCGCCAACAGCTCAGACACATGCTGGATACAGGACAGACGGAGAGGAAACAGAGGACAGAAAAAAAGAAATGAGCGGGAAGAGAGAAAGAAAGAAAAAAATGTGAGTTAGCTTTGTGCATTACACTCTCTTAATTGTGGTAAATTACCATTATGGATGGCCTCATGCCTTAATGCATTATTATTTTTAATGAATAAATAGATACTGATACACATTATTCTGAGACAAACAACCTCTGCTAACGTCAAACCACACAAACATCAAAACAAGTCTGAATATCAGAGCTGGAAGTTAAACAGGTTATTTTTTCCATTTTCAGTTGATTTACATTCAACAAACACTGTCAGAAACTGAATAAGTTATACAAGTATGTATAACATGTTTCATACAGAACGGTATTTCAACAGATATACAGTAGTTGTTACCTGGAGCAGAAGAATCGCTTCTCAATATTATTAACTCGTTGTCATCTCTCGGTCACGTCCCAAAACCTTCAATTTGGCAGTTATTAAACCTCTTATTAAGTAACCACAATTAGATCCTAGTGAACTGGCAAATTACAGATCCATGTCAAATTATTCGTTTATGTCTAAAAAAAAATTGTTTCTGCTCAATTGTGCTCCTTCCAGCAAAAAATGTATAACTCTGAAGAATTTCAGTCAGGTTTCAGGCCCCATCATAGCACAAAACTTCACTTGTTAAAATTACAAATGACTTGCTTCTTGCATCAGACCAAAGCCGCATCTCATTGCTAGTTTTACTTGATCTTAGTGCTGTGTTTGACACTTTAGATCATGACATACTCCGAGATCGATTTCAAAACTATATGGGTATTCAATGGCAGGCTTTAAGACGATTTAGATTCTACCTGTCTGACTGTTATCACTTTTATTTAAACGGGGAATCATCTCAATTAATGCCAGTAATGTATGGAGTGCCACAAGGATCTGTCCTAGGTCCTCTGCTATTTTCAATATACATGCTGACCCTTGGTAATATTATTTGAAAATACGGGATTATTTTCCATTATGCTGTTGAAACTCAACTATATAACAGTGTGTTTTAAAAATGTAAAAGACTGGATGACCAATAATTTTCTCCTATTAAATTTGGATAAGACAGAGATATTACTTATTGGACCAAAAAACAGTACACAGAATCTCTCAGATTACAAATTGCATCTAGACGGCTGCACTGTTACTTCCTCTACAGACAAAAATTTGAAAATCATATTTCACATGTTACAAAAACTGCATTCTTCTATCTTAGAAACATTGCCAAGCTGCGGAACATGTTACCCGTTTCTGATGCAGAAAAGCTAGTTCATGCATTCATGACCTCTAGACTGGACTATTGTAATGCACTGCTAGGTGGTTGTCCTGCATCTTCAATAAAAAAGCTACAGGTAGTCCAAAATGCAGCGGCTAGAGTCCTTACCAGGTCAAGAAAATATTATCATATTACCCCAATTTTATAATGTCTGCACTGGCTACCTATCAAGTTCCGTATCAGTTACAAAATATTACTACTTACTTATAACTTAAGGCCCTAAAAAAGAGAGCAAAGTTCACAAAAGGAGGTAGAGCTTTTTTGCATTTGGCTCCCAAACTCTAGAATAGCCTTCCTGATAATGTTCGAGGTTCAGACACACTCTCTCTGTTTAAATCTAGATTAAAGACACATCTCTTTAGTTGAGCATTCACATAATGCATCTCATAACTCTGTACTTCCATTATTTTTGATCAAATGTACATTATCATTCTTTTTCTTGGGTTGAACACACCATTTTTTGCTTGGTTGGAACAGCAGCTATGTTAATTTTTCTCTATTTGTTTCTGCCACGGGATTGGCATCCCATGGTAACTAGGAATTACACAAGCTTCACTCTGGATCCAGCTCTTACAAAGATCTGAGATGACCGGACACCTGAGAAGAGATGTTGCCAACCCCTCAGAGGACCTCAGATGATGCCAACCATGAAACAACATACAGAACTACCAAATTTTGCTATAAGTTTGATCGCAAAATGTAATCATTGTCATTAATAGTAAATGTAAAAAAAAAAATCTCTTTCTCTATTTATTCCTTCCCTTTCTAGCTTGTATTTATTTGAACAATGCCTAAAACTTGGTATTACAAGCACTTCCTGTGTCTGTTTGCCTCTTTAAGAAGAATCGCTTTATGTATTCCCTAATTGTAAGTCGCTTTGGATAAAAGCGTCTGCAAAATTACTAAATGTAAATGTAATAGTGTTCACCGTTTGTTTGAATACATAACTGGACTCCTGTGAAATCCAGAACTAACTGGATGATTTTTACTGTACATTTCTGCCATATAGACATCAACTTGACATAGTCACCACTGATAAGCTTCTCCTAAATATAATGTAGAAACTTGAATTTTCTGTGAAGCTGCTTTGCAACGATTTGTATCGTGAAAAATCACCATATAAGTAAACGTGAATTGAATTGAACATAGGCAGGCTAAAAGTCATGTTAAAATCATAGAAAAGTTCATTTAAAATGAAATGAAAATGAAAGGACAATTAGGAGAAAGGCAATTAAATAATTTATGTGTTTAATTATATTTATATAACATTTGAATAATCAAAATTAAATCAGATAATAACCTTTAAAATGTATTTTCAATGTATTTATACATTTATAATGATTATATTATTAATATAAATAAAATTAAATATTCATAAAATTCATAATTTAAAATAAAAACAAAAATAAATAAAATAAAAATTAAAATTAAAATAAATAAAATAAAAATAAAATTAACTAAACTAATTCATTTAAACTATGAATTAATGAGGGAATGAATGAATGAATAAATAGAATATAAAAATAGAATAATGAACGAATTAATTAAAGAACAAATAAATTATTAAATTAATTACAGAGCAAACAAACAAACAAATAAAGTATATGTGATATGTAGCCATATCCATGCAGCCTGGTAGATCTGTTAAACCCACATAATGCATCTGGTCAACAATCACACCATGATCCTGAGTGTTATCAGAGCTGGTCAATTTTTATTTGTTTGATAACAGGCCGTGTGAACAGCTTGATGTTCCGGTGATCCTTTCCAAACGCTGCTTTTTTTGGGCTCGATCAACCGCAGGCTTCCATGGTGAACAATCCCAGCGTGCCAGCGGGAATGTCAAAGCAAAAAGACACGGACAACATCTGGTGCAGCTCACCGTCGCTTTCTCACACCGATCCGTTTCAGAAGGACCATTCGTTTAGAACAAACCACATCTGCATGCGAGAACGTGCAGTATTTCCAACCAGAAAGGTAGAAAGGTCAGAGATTTACTGGCGGCACTGGTGGCATTTTACTAAAGTCCCCAGCGAGACTGGAAAAATCTGCACCGTCACTTTCAGACAGTTTATCAAGCTGGCATTTCAGGTCGGGACTCAAACCCAGTCTTGGCATGCGAACGGATCAAATAAATGAAAAGTGGTATCTGAAAAAGGTGTTTCTAGCAATCTAGAGGCAGCATGGCCGCCGAATAAATCCCTCAGGATTACAACCATTCCCTCCACTGCTCAGGCAATCAAGACTTATCGACTGAATGATCTAGGAATCCAAATGCAGCTCCGCTCACCACTCGCCTGAGCGTATCTGCAATAATGTCATGCCATGAGGGAGCCAGACTATAGCACGCTGAATACCAGATTAAGACAGCACAAACCGCAGCTTTACTGGGCCAAAAGATGAATCCTGAGTAAAAACATAAATGCAAGGTCAGAAAACATGGATGCTTTCATTGCAAACATATCTGATCTACACTATAAGATGTGCTCAAGTGATTCCGGATGGGATGAAGTGCATGCATTAGCCTCTTTATCACATTTTCCCGACAATCATGGGAAGATACACCGAATGTGTGATTCACGCATTACTTGTGATGGGAAATGCGGATTTTGTTGTGCAAAACTGTTGCATCGCTTCTAGACCAATCAAATAGGGCTGGGTAAAAAAATATAGATATCTCGATTTTAAAGGGGTCATATGATGCGATTTAAATTTTTCCTTTCTCTTTGGAGTGTTACAAGCTCTTGGTGCATAAAGAAGATCTGTAAAGTTGCAAACACTAAAGTCTCAAATCCAAAGAGATATTCTTTATAAAAGTTAAGAGTCAGCCACGCCTACCTAAAACGGCTCGTTCTAACACACCCCAACATACCTACGTCACTATGTGGGAAGAATTGCATAACGCCGCCCAAATGTTCACGCAAAGAAAGAAGGAGTAACTTTTATTCTCACTGTAGTATTGTTGACGCTGCAGCCATGTCGTGAAGACGCTGTGTGCTTCGTTGTGAAAGCGAAACTACTTTGTTTGGTCTTCCAAAAGAGGACGATATCCGCTTCATCATGCCTGCAGCTGCTCCGTGCTGGTCTCTGAGGGAATACATCAACTTTCACCGTGGACAAAGCGGAGTCCAGCCCGGGGTCGTCCCATGTGGTTGCCGATCATTCGTTGGATCCGCCGGGCGCGCCGTTCTCAAGCCCGCCACCTCTGCTCACTCTATCCCGGCCTCAGCGCACGCTAAGCCAGGGCTTCCGCTCACGGTAGGCCGCTGTGGTTTTCGTTGTGAAAGCAAAACTATGTTTGGTCTTCCAAAAGAGGACACGACTACAAATCAGTGGTTAAGTTGTATTTACAACACTGGCGCCGTTTAATCTGTGACAGATCGCTGAAGCACATAGCGCACGTGAACTGATCAGATCTCCTCCACATTAATACCAGTTTCAGCACAAAATAAACATGACTAAACATCCAAAGGTAAGTTAAAAGAAAGAGTACAACATTACAATCCGTATCCAGTCTCATGTAATCACTCAATAAGTGTTTCAGCCGCGCAAAGACGTCAATATAACGGCTTGTAAACAATATGTCACGTAACGTCACATTTACCTCAGAAAAACATATTCGGTGACCATAAACTCATTAGTCAGATAGAAAAATAAGCTGTAAATATATGCACCATATAACATATTCATTATA